CCATCCATCGTCCCAGCCTTCTTAGAAGGAGGCCCATTCAAAGCTGATTTAGAATACATTTTGAAAGAGGGGTAAAAGGTACACCAAATGGCATCCAGGCTAGTCCAGGAAGGAGTACGAGCACTTCACCTTCACGGGGCTTGAATTTGAATTCGCGCCCCTCTCCTCTGAAGCAAAATTTAAACAAGTAATGCGTTGAGGTTGATGAGACCTCTACAAACAAAAGGCACCTTTCCAATGCACAACTTGGACGCATTACCCATGACCTCGAATTCTTATATGATTGTGGTAAGTGGATTCACTTTTAAGCTAGTCGTAGGAAGAACTCTTTTTCTGCGCTGCCAATTCTCCCATGGCGAAGGTAAGTGTCATAAGGAGGTCGCTTTTTTCAGTGTCAGCTTTTGATGAGCGGAAGAGACGTGATGTGTTCGACCCTTTGTACTTGCTATTTTTGAAGGGCTCAAAAAAGGTGTTGGCCAACTCCAACAGTATAATGGTTATCGGCGTTGTGAAAGCTAGACCATTAGTGTCCCGTTACCCAAATTATCCTCGCTGTTCCTTCCCTAAGGTGGTAGTCATTGCAGCTATTCTATTGTCCTATGTGGCTTAAGCCTTAAAATAGATGTAAGCTTCGGGTTTTCGGCATACATCTAATAGCCTTGGTCACCTCCTTCTCTTCTGGGAGGCAAAATGTGCACCAGCATCTGAGCGCATCATTTTTCCAACCCAGTTTGCAAAATGATTTTCCCATTTCGATTCCACTTTAGGGTAAAAGGATACTTTTCCAAAATAAAGGTTATCATAGCAAAATAAGACTTGAATAATTTTGTGGCACTATAACAAGCACAAGAATGGGTTATTAGGGCTGTCAACATGATGCAATTTTAGGGTCACTCTCTTCCTCCCCCTCCACAGTCCAACATCTTGAGGGCACACGATTGTGTACTTTTTTCGATGCATATGCTAGTCAGCCCCGCACTGTCACCCCTTCTTTTGGCGTGGAAAAGCTGATCACTTCGTGGGAAGCAGCAGCAGCAAAAGATTCCACATCCATAGAACTACCACTACGCATCCGTGCGGGCATTTGGAAGCGTGTGTGTGCGTATGCGCAGTACCAAGGACTCCGGCCATTGGCCGGCTTGTATCGATCTCCTATGGGGGAGGCTGGTGTGAGCCAATCAACATCAAGTATTGCTGAAACGCGCGCATGCGTTCTGGGGGGCAGTGATTCAATGCCGTTTACGCTCGATCAATAGACCGGAGATAGTATCATGGGGAAGAGGGGAGAGGGGATGGTGTTACCTATAGGGAAACCTTGCATGGCTTTGTCGCCGCTTTTTTCTGCGATAAGCTCTAGAAACAATCAGCTAATCTCATATTGGTCTTGAGAGGTCAATCTCAAACACACTTTTCATTACAAATAGGCTAAGATTCTTTATGTTATTTGACAAGGGTCAAAAGGTATTGACTTGTTGCTTAACTTCTAATTATTTAAAAGGGCGTCTGATATTGCTTCATTTTGAGGAGTGTTTCGTGTAATACCAGTTCTTGTTCAACCACATTTTGTGAGATTACTTTTCGTCTAATTGCATATTTTTTTGCCTACTTTGTTGCAAGCAACCGAAATGCTCAACGTGTTTTTCATTCTGATGAACTTTCAGTGGGCCGGATCGTGAGCATACAGACTTTGTATGTGTGGAGATATTCGATGGAAACGTTTACTTCGCCTACGGCATCGGCGATCACTACAGACACATTCAGTTGAATCCAACTTCCCGGAAGGTGAACACTGGAACGGCCCATCGGGTGTATGTAGAGAGGACACCTCAACACCGCTTTATTGTGAGTTTGCCGGTCCACTTTTGGCACAGCCTAATGATGGAGTAAATGCATAGAAGTGGCTAGGTGACCTGAGCCTTCAAGGTGATGGAGAAATACAGACAAGGAACCAGTTAGGACTGCGAACTTAAAAGAATAAAATGTAGCAACACATACAAACAATCTGCTTCCGCAAATCATCAGTACTCATAAGGTCTTGGTGGGAAAGGCGGAAGACCACTGTGGTTGCTATGGCAAACGCCATTGTGTCCTAGAGCACATAGTTTTATGTTATATGTGAAAAACATCTTAACAGTGAGAAGAATGCCTGTTTTTCTCACCACTATTCCCACTTCCATGCTTGATCCACAAACTTGCTTAATAGTTTTTGTTATCAAGTGGAAGTCCTTAGCGGAAGTTACCTTTTAAGTAAGGGTGTAGTGATGGGAAGGGCTATCAGATTGTCAACTACTTTATGAAGTCTAAACAAACACCAAGTAGACATCCAGGGTCCGCATCACTACTGTCCGACTCCCTCATGGCCTGGAGCATCGGTAGTCGGTTTACCTTCAACAGCTTTATTTGCTGCCACTGCATGTAACACAGGAGAATGGAGGGTTCATTCAGACAAGACGCTCCAGTCGGTCCTCTCTGCCAGCACCACGTCTGCACTCCTGCAACCCTTGGAGTTATTCATGTGCACACTACTTAAATATGCTTGCGAGTAATTTTCTTGACTATATTTAAATCATTCGGAATTGATTTGATCGGTGCAACAGTTTAAAATGTCAATCTTTGGTAGGAGGAAAGTGGAATTTAACTAATTGTGCGCTCCTTTATCATGGGATAGGTGAAGTACAATGGGCAGGAGATTGACGTAGATCAGGGCACCTCACGGCACCAAGCCGAGTTCTCCAGCTACACCTACTTTGGCAGCATTGATCAACCGTCGCGCTTCCCGTGGATCGTCTGGTCTCGGGAGAATTTTGCAGGCTGTATCAACTTTATCCGTGTCAACGATGACAAATTTCTTGATCCTGCCTCGTGAGTTCTTTTCATCTTTCAAGACCAATTGGAAGATTGGTAACTTCGAGTGTAATGCCTTGTGTATTCGACCGTCTGTATGGCTGTTGGTCACTTCGATGTTCACCATACTCTTGGCTGATGAGGAGAGGAGATTGGAGCTGCCCTACGGGCCAAGCCGAAGCTCTACGTCCTCTTCTCCTCCCTGAACACGGGTAGTCAGCCTTGCGTAAAGAGAAGCCAGGTGACGTTGCACAGAGACCTCACTGCTTCAAGTACTTCGCCTCTTTTGTTCACCTAGCGTCGGCATAAATTAGCTGCTTGGCAGAAAGTCGTCTTGAGTTGGTAGGAATAGGTAGAACAGGCCTCTCCATTGCCTCCAGTCCTGTCTAACAAAGCTGAAGTCAGTCCTGTTCGCTTGTCAGCCACCCAAAACCCTCTTTGCGTGATCTACACCGATCACCTTCATCGCATTGTCGAAAATGGTTTGTTTCCTCCAAGTTCATTTCGTATTGTCCATCACATCCTCAAAAAGTGTGCCCATTCGTTGAAGTTTACCACCTACATATCGTTTTTCGAAAGCAAAAGCTGTAAAGGTGGCAATTGTGAAGTCCAGTCCACTTGGCTGTATGTCACTCTTTCTAACCTTGATTGCGAAAACCCAAAAATTCCATCTAATTCCCCACCTTTTCAATCTCTGAGAAGGGAAATGTGGAAAAAAGGCTTGTATGGCAGCTCTCATTGGCGTCGACCTCATCGAGACTGAAATCAAAGCGTCTTTTGCCAAGCCGTTGGTAGAAGGAGGACTTAGAGAATGTGTGTGTGCGCTCTGAATTGGTTTACTGTTCACCTTTTATCAGCCGAATGAATCAGCATACCGATTTGAGCCGCGGCATACAATTTGGCGTGTGCAAAGCCCCCGACCTCCGTTGTAATCGTGAGATATGCGGTGGAGGACAGTGTCACGAGCGCTCCTATCCCTTCTTTGAACCGATGAACTTCGCCTGTGACTGTTCCGCGTCGGACAAGACCTTCAGGGAGGGTGTAGAGGACATTCGACGCTCCGAGGCATGCAACCGCGGTGAGGACTCCCTCGAGCCACTTTTTACCGAAATAATTTCAGTAGGCTGCTAAAAAGTCTTACTTCTTTCTCACTTTAGACGCACCAATTGTGGATTTCGATGGCGAGACCGTGGTGATGATTGACTTTGAGCGCCAGATGAACACTTTGACAACACACACAGATGACATTAACCTTCAATTTAAGACGGAGAGCCTCTACGCTCCACTGTTTGTGGCTGTATCGACCGCAGAGAAGCAGTACTTCCGTGTGGAGCTTGAAAATGGTCTCATTAAAGTCAGCACCAACATGAATAAGGCCAGCAAACCGCCTCGGGATGCTGTAAGTTTATGCACACTCCAATTCGCTCTAAAGGAGCCAATTGTACACGTCACTGAATGACATCCAACAGGTGTTGACGCATTGTGGGCTTCCGGGCGAGACGCATTTGATGGGACTATTTCGTTGGCATTCCCTTTAAGCAGACGTGTCGAGCGATGGAGGGGTGACTTTAGTTTCAATAAAAGTGAATCCCAGTGCATTCGTTACTACTGGAATAAGTGAGCCATCTTTGAGGAAGTGTGCTGCTGTGCTCAACGCTAGTAAAATAAGTCGAACACGGTTCTTCGGTCGACTACTTGATCTTCTGCACATCCTTGCTGCATCCACTGACCAGTTGAATGATTTGAATGCTGTAAAGACTGTCTTGCTTGGTGCCTCTTTTAGGAATTTTTGTTGCAAAGTCCGCGTCTAAATGACAATAACTGGCACACTCTGAGAATACGTCGCCGAGCTCAATTCCTCTACATTAGCGTGGACAATGCGAGTGAGAAGAACGGAGTGTTGGTGGTAGAGATCCCCAAGGGTGTCTTCAACAACATCGCCCAACAGATCTACGTGGGTGGTCTGATGCCGGAGAACTACGCCTCCCCGCCCTACGGCAACATGGCGGGTTTCTTGCCTAAAGGACCTAAGTTTGTTGGTGAGATGCGCAACTTCTACTGGAATCAGTACGACTTCTTTGGCACTCGGCAGTTGCCTACTCATTACTCCACCGATGTTCTCACGCCTCGCCTCGAGCTACCGACATTCCCGAGTTGGCCACGAGAGCCCATGTACTCTATTACTTGCACCTCCAAGCTTAATTGGGGCACCATCCAGGTTCCCATGAAGGCCAAGGAGGCTGGAGACATGTGGCTTCTGGAATTCAAGACCAAGTATGACGGCGTTCTTGCCCACGTAAGCATAAAACCTTCCAATGTTGCCGGTTAGGTTGAGTTGGGGACGAAAGGGCAGCCAAAATTAAGAGGAGTTGCCGTTCTAGCTCAGTGTCTTGAAGCACAGAAGTTACGCACTCATTTCCTCCCTTCACCTCGTTCCAAGGAGCAATTTCAAAGCTACTAATGTCACACATATTCGCCGCATAGGCAGATCTGCAACTGTTGCAGTAGAAAGATCAAAAGTCCTAGCTTTTGACCCGTCATGACTGTGCATCCCGAGGTGACTCAGGTGACTGCAATGAATTTCGTCCAACTGGAGCCGGAAAATGTTGAGCCTGCAGAGGAAGGAGGGGGAGAGGGGGAGACGACCTTGCGTCCCACCGTCTCCTGCCTTCGGTAGCATTCATAGCGATGTGGTGGAGCGATTAGGTGATAGAGGCTTGCATATACACAGGCAAGAATCGACAACAAAAAAAATTTCATTTGTAATGAGTGAGGAGGTGTTTGCCACCAAAAAAAAAAAACTCGACGAGCATTGCTTCTACCTGGGCGAGGCAGACTTTTAATTCAGCAATCTACATGCGTAGTTTGACAGTGTCCTTTAACCGCATAAATCTGTTTGTGTTTTTAGAAATGCGTATTTTCGATTAGCCGTCAGAATTGATGATTCGGTGTTCAAATAGGTGTGCAATTAGCTCTTCTGCAGACAGGTGCACCCTTCACCGTCTTCTTGCATGCTTCACAATAGGCACGAGATGAGAATACGGGGTCGCACTTCACTTTGATGATACTGAAGGGTCGTCTACACCTCATCTATTCCATTGGCGGAGTAACAGGCGTCCATGAGATAATCAACAGTCCCATCTCCGTTGCCGACAACCTCTGGCATCGTGTCACCTTTGGTCTGGATCGGGTCAAGGGTCGCTTTGTCATCATTGTCGATGATTCAGCTCCTGAGGTGAGTCCTACTCGCAGCATTAGCTGCCACTTCTAGCCTTGTCCACTGTGTCACGATTGATCGGCTTCTTGTCGCACTTTCATTGATACCACATCGTAACCCCTCACCTTAGGCTGTCATCATTGCTGGAGCCGAGGTGAGTTGCATTTGAACCACATCATCCTCATCGACCCTACGCATTCAGGGAAATCGTTCCACTTTACACTCATCATTTATCCTATACAACTTTGTTCCCCCTTTTCCTTACCGTTGCTCCTTTTGTAGTTAAAAAGGGGTTGTAGGAATGTCCCTTAGGGTGAGGTAAGAGAATGGAGAAATCAGTAGTGTTTATGTTACTAACCCTCATTACAGACGATCAAGGTGTTTACTCTTGCACCATACATATCACCACAATTGGTACGTCTCGGTGTTGTGTGGTCAGTGTGTAATTATTCGGCCAGGTTATAAACCTCATTTGTTGATTATTATTGTTATTCTTATCACAGCTTCCACTCAAGGTCCTTCTGCTATTTCCTTCACCTATTTGTGCCCAGATTTTGCTGATCTGCATGGCATTTTACCATCAGTATCTGCTTTATCATTCCTCCTCCTTGCCGTCGTCATTCTCTGTGCCCACTCGGCGGCTACCGGAAAAAAAAGAGGTGTTTTAAAGTCGTGAGACTTGCCTTGTAGACATTTGGACACCGCCTGCAACACAACACACTGAACACGCTCACATTCAGTTTTGGTGGAGTGCCAGGAATTTGGAGCAAGATTTTGGAAATAATTCGTCTGCATGCACCCACTTCCCTGCCAAATGGCTACGAGAGCAGTCCTCCAGCTCTCACCGGCTGCCTTGGCGGCTTCAGCACTCGCACAGATCGCTTTTCGGTTGATTTGTTGAAGAAGTACGATGCACAGTTGGAGAGCTTTCCAAACGGAGAAATTGTACGTGGATACTGCCGAGGTGAGTTCACGAGGCCTTCCAGCGTTGCAATCGAAGGGAGAAGCTGGAAGTGTAAAAAACCAAAAGTGACTCCTTCTGTAGGAAGTTAGTGGTGGAAGGAAGGAATTGGAATACTGGTCTAGTCGTTTTTCACTTCTCCACAAAGTTCATCGCCATTGAACAAGGGCCTAGACTCCCCTGTGCTACTCCTTTAATAATAGTTAGCTTGGCCATGAATTGGTGTTTGTAGACATATCCACAGATTTTGCCAGGAAACAGACGAATAATCTAAGTCAGAAGCAAAAGCAAAGAACTGTCTGGAGGCTGTACCTCATTTCGCCCTCTCTTAGCAAAAGACAGTGGCATTCTTACTTGCAATACGGATTTTTCGAGGCGTAAATACCAAACCCCGCTTGTACCCACATCCACTAAGCCATTGAGAAGTACGGCCTAAAATCTTGTAAAATGTTCTACTAATTCCTTTTAAGTAACATTTTTAGAATAGAAGAATGTTAATTGTTCCCAACCGGTGCCTTCATTCATAGTCACCCACTGTTTCAATGCCACAAAAGTATTTTGTTCTCTTTGCCAAAATTCTTTTCTAACCAAATTCAAATTCTAACTTTTCATTAAAAGCGGAGTGCATTTGCGAGCCGGGTAAGAAAGCATAGGTGACTCATGGTAGATGCCTCCTTGGAGGATAGCCGTAGACTAGCAATTTTTCTTAAGCACATTGCATTAATCTTGGTCTCTTTTCGATTCCTATCACAGATGGTGAGTCGCCCTCGTCCAAACAGCACTTTAAAACGCATGTTGCTTTATTATTCGTCCTTTTTTTATTAAAAAAAACATTCAACTTACTTATGTTCCTTTTGTTGTCCGCTCAATTCGCG